CCCCCCCCAGCCACACCACGCAAGGTCTGAACTGAGAACTCCTGCAGAACATAGAAAATAAACCCCAGGTTGGGGTGGTGGGGTTTTTTTTGTGTAAGCTAAAGAGAGATTTAGTTTCTCCATGCACCTGAGCAAAGCTCAGAGCAGGAGCCCAGGCATTTTAAAACTGTCATTCCCAGGTCACCTGTAGGGACTGGCATGGTGTGGCACTGAGGTGAGGGACATGGTGACCCTCCTCGTTCGGATGCACAAGGCTACAACGAGCTGGGGCTTGGAGCAAACGGTCTTCCTGGCCTCTTGCCTCGGAGCAGCTCCCGTGAGAGGGCCCGGGGCCTCAGCAGCCCCAGCCTCCATGGCCGAGGAGCAGGGAGGAGAGAAAGGGGAGACGCACGTTCCCTCATGCAGAAGCGTTAAGAGAAACAGAGTGAAAAAGAAGAGGGGAGGGAGCATGGGACGGACACACACACACGCTCTCGTGACTGGCCCTTTCAAATGCTTTCCGACCAAGAAAGCATCCGCACGGCCGCCCACCACAGCCCGAACTGTCAAGAGAGAAGTTTTTTCTGGAGAGGAAGGAGGGTCTGGTCCCACGAGCCCCAACCGTAGGTGGGGAGTGCCGAAGGGGCGGCCGAAGGGGTGCTCAGCGAAAGCCCCCTCCTGCACACTCGTGCGTTACATCCCGACCACCTCTGGAAAGTGGTTTGGTTTTTTTTTTCAGTCTACCCTGAGCAGATTTCCTCAAATGAAGGTGCTTTTCCTGGTGGGGGGAGAGGATGGGGTCGGGGCAGGGCTGCGGGGACCTGGCAGTCAGCACTCGTTTGCTCTCTCTGGAAAGAAAATTTCACGGCATCGCTGGACCGTGTCCTGGGGGGACTGGACGCTGTGTCCCACCGTGCGGGGATCATCATAGATTTCGTAATCGTTCCCTCCCTGCAGGGGAATATAAAATAGGGAAAGCATTAGCAGGGTCTCGCCGAAACATCTTCATCCATGAATTCGCATCGTGCTCTGTCCTGTGAGGAGCTGGGGTGGGAACCAGCGGTGGGGCAGGCAGGGACCCGCTGGGAAGGGGCTGTCAGGGCTTCCCTGGCCCAGGGAGGCAGAAGAGGCTGGGCTGGGAGCCTTCATCCCTCCCGCTTGCCTCCCCTCTTCTCTGCTAGCAGAGGAGCATAAGAAAGGATGGGGAAGGTCCCAGACCAGCAAAGCTTGTCCAGGAGCCTGGGGTTAACCCCTGCCCTGGCAGTGGAGGGGCTAGCAGAAGGGGAGGGGGGCACATTTGGGCAGCAGAGGTTGCCATCATCTGGAAAGAGCCGAGTGGATGGCCAAGCTGGTCTACAGCAGCAAGGAAGCCTCATCCTCCATCGCTCCCAAGGGAAGGTGAAGCTGTTCCTGCTGTTGAAAAGCCTTCTCCTAAGTGCTGGGGGCTTGTGTTTTGGGTCCTGCGGGCCGCAGGGGTGGCTGCCCCCCTCCCGAGGGTACCGGCAGGAAGAAAGCGATGCTGAGGTGGACCTGCTCTCCAGCACGGTGACTCCAAGGGGATTTGCCCATGACCCAACGAGCCTGCCGCCATCACGAGCCCACCGCAAACCCGCATCTCTTCCCCTCGTACTGCTACAGCTCTGTGTCGGGTGGCGGGAG